CCCATTTTTTCCTTCCTTCCTTTTTCCCTTTCTCCCTTCCTTTCTCCTCCTTCTCCCATCTTTTCCTTCCTCCCTTTCCTCTCCCTTCCTTTCTCCCCTTCTCCCATCTTTTCCTTCCTTCCTTTTTCCCTTTCTCCCTTCCTTTCTCCTCCCCTTCTCCCATCTTTTCCTTCTTCCTTTTCCTTTTCTCTCCCTTCCTTTCTCCCATGTTTTCCTTCCTTCTCCTTCCTTTCCTCTCCCTTCCTTTCTCCCATCTTTTCCTTTCTTTTTTCCTTCTCTCCCTCCTTCCTCCCATCTTTTCCTTCCTTCTCCTTCCTTTCCTCTCCCTTCCTCCCATCTTTTCCTTTCTTCCTTTTTCCTTCTCTCCCTTCCTTTCTCCTCCGTTTCTCCCATCTTTTCCTTCCTTCCTTTTTCCTTTCCTCTCCCTTCCTTTCTCCCCTTCTGCCATTTTTTCCTTCCTTCCTTTTTCCTTTCCTCTCCCTTCCTTTCTCCTCCCCGTTTCTCCCATCTTTTCCTTCCTTCCTACCTACCTACCTTTCTACATATGCATAGTAACAATATTAGTGATTAAACTGCAGTTAAAAGTTAACCAGCTAAGCCACAGATTTAATAACTATATATTTATAAATATATAAATAAGTTATTAAAGCACAGATATGAAAATTAAGTTGCTAAATGCCTTACATAAAAACACAAGTAACTATATATTTACAAATACGCAAATGTTAATAAACTGCAGCCAGCATATGGCTTCTGCAGTTTTTCTACCGTAAACTAAGTTACCGGAAGCACTTCTGTTCTTGAGCATCTCTCTATCAATTTCTAGATCAACCTATGTTAATATTTTACCTTGTTTCTTTTACTTTGTCACCTCTAGGCAAGATGGGCAGCTTATAAATTTAAATAAAATAAACTTTTCAGGATGAACCAGACACTAAGCTAGCAACAGGCAAAACTATTTTTTTTTGTTGCAGCTTGATGTGTGAATTCAAAGAGCCAGGCAAACACAAAAGGATGAGCACGCTGGGCCACCCTAAGGACGTGCATTTGTCTAAGGTCCATTTTTCGATTTTGCCAGACATGAAACACACACAGAATGACACTCCAAGTGCCCTTTTTAATTTATGAAGACAGCTTACCAAACAAGCCGCAGAAGGACCCCAAGTAATAAACGGGTCGAAGGAAAAATGTGTTTTTTCATTACAGAGTCACAACACTGTGCAGTCCAAGCAGCTCTGTCGGGTCACATCCGTTGCTACTTCTTCCAGGAGAAAGGTTTCCGGGCCCAATTCTCATCAGTCGATGCGGCCTCTTTAAGGATTTCCATCATCAAGGCGTTCTGTCGCTGTGAGTCCGTATAGTGCTGGCTGGGCTCCCGGAATTCCTGTGGGGAGAACAAAGACGTGAGGAAGACAAACCAAGGTTTTTGGACATCCCCGTTGTGTGGATCTGTACATCACCTGAGGTGGACAAACTACTTGTCCTTAGTGAAATAAGCCACATCTCTTCTCCTAAATAGTCAGAAAAGATTCTAGTCCTCATGGTTCTGAATATGATCTTCTCTAAGAGGTTAACCCTTGTGGTTCTGACTAGGATAAGTTATTTAAGGTGCTAATCTTCATGTTTCTGAGTAGAATCCTATTTAAGATGCTAGTCCCTGTGGTGATCTAAAGTGCCAGTTTGGTGTAGTGGTGAAGGTATTGATGAAATGAAATAAGAATCTAATAAACAAATAAGCCTAATGAATGAAATAAAAAAGCCTACTTTTTCTGAATGCGATCTTATTTAAGGCACTAGTCCTTCTGATTCAGAACTGGATCTTACACAAGGCACTAGTCCTCGTGATTCAGAACAAGGTCTCATGCAAGGCACTAGTCATGATTCAGAATAGGGTCTATATGCAAGGTGCTAGTCCTCGTGGGGACTTTATGCAAGGCACTAGTTCTCATGATTCAGAACAGGGTCTTTATGCAAAGGCGCTAGTTTTCATGATTCAAAACAAGGCCTTACGCAAGGCGCTAGTCCTGCTGGGAACTTTAAGCAAGGCGACAGTCCTCGTGATTCAGAACAGGGTCTTTATGCAAGGTGCTAATCTGCATGATTCAGAACAAGGCCTTATGCAAGGCGCTAGTCCTCCTGGGAACTTTACACAAGGCATTAGTCCTCGTGACTCAGAACAGGGTCTTGACGCGAGGCGCTAGTCCTCGTGTTTTAAAGCAGCACCGTAGGACGCGGCCTCGGGCCAAGGCCTCCCCCTATTTCCTGACCTTCCTGAGCTTCGCCGACCGCGCCTCGTCGGACGGCCACAGCTGCAAGAGCAAGAGCCCCCCGCCGAAGATGCCCGCCGCGGTGCCCACCGCCTTAACGACGCGCCACTGGATAGCCATGGCCGCGGGCCGCGGCGCTTCTTCCCGGAAGCCGAAAGGGGGACAGGAAGCGGCGCGGGACCACCATAGAGAGCACGAGGGCGTCCGGCCGGAGCGCCGCGCGCGGAGCGTGCAGCTCAAGCACAAAGAAGGGACGCTTGTTTCTCGGGTGTTGAGCGCCCTCGTGTGGCGGCCTGAGGAATCTTCCTTTTCTTTTTCCTTTGTCAGCGTCCAAGCCTCACAGCGGAGGATTTGCATTCAAGATGCTGCAGTTTTTTTTGCCACTCTTTGCAACGGCGTTTCTCAACCTGGGCAGCTTGAAGAGGGTTGGACTTCAACTCCCAGAATTCCCCAGCCAGCATGTCCTCCCGTCCTAAAGCATGCTGGCTGGGGGATTCTGGGAGTTGAAGTCCACCCATCATAAAAGTGGCTGAGTTGACAAGCCCTGCCTGAAGCGACTTTTGCTGGCCTCTGTTGAGTCCAGACGCTCCGGCAGTTGGCCCTCTAACCAGGTTTCTCTGAAAGCAACTGGAGATGGGTCAAGGCCTCCCAAATAATAGATGTTATCCACACCTCAAGGGGTCAAGGCTT